AAGCGTATCGCCAGTCATGGGAGTGCCTTTGTGGTGCGTGGTTGTGTGGCTTTCTTTTCGTTTTTTTCGTTTTTTTTGTTTTTTTTGAGACGGGGGTCGTGGGCTGGGCTGAGTGGGCCAGCGTGTGGTGAGTGCTGGCGGGCGCGTCGACGTGCAAGGTCGCACGGTCCGTAGAGAATTGCATGCCCCATTGCTCCGTGGTCTCAGCCCGCCTAGTAGCCTGGCGGCACTACGCAGGACGCCCGGCACTGACGCCCGGCCCTAAGTTTTGTATTTTTACGTAGAGACGGCGGATTTCACCGTGCTAGGCAGGATGGTCTCGATATTCTGACTTCGTGATCCGCCCGCCTCGGCCTCTCAAAGTGCTGGGATTACAGGCGTGAGCCACCGTGCCCGGCCCGTCATGTATCCTTTTAAAATATGCCTACATTGGCGGGGCGCGGTGGCTCATGCCTGCAATCCCAGCACTTTGAGAGGCGGAGGCGGAGGCGGGTGGATCACCTGAGGCCAGGAGTTGGAAATCTGCCTGGCCGACATGGTGAAACCTTGTCTCTACTAAAAATACAAAAATTAGCTAGGCTTGGTGGCACTTGCCTGTAATCCCAGCTACTTGGGAGGCTGAGGCAGGAGAATCGCTTGAATCCAGGAGGTGGAGGTTGCAGTGAGCCGTGAGCCGAGATCGCACCACTGCACTCCAGCCTGGGAGACAGAGCAAGACTCCTTCTGGGGGTTGGAGTTGGGGGGAGATGAATTATACAGTGAAACTTTCTTGAACCTGAAGAGTCTGGTTTTTTTAAAAAAAGTTTTTATATCACAAATTTAATTCCCTTAGTAGTTACAAGGTTATAGAAAAATATATTTCATATTGAGGGAGTTGTGGTAGTTAGTGATTTTCAAGGAATTAGTCCATCTCATCTAAGTTTTCAAATTTGTGTGTAAAGTGTTGTTCATAGTATTCCTTTACTCTTTTGATGTCAGCAGAGTCTGTAGTGATATACTCCTCTTTTTATTCTTGATATTGTAGTTTGTGTCATCTCTCTTCTTAAAAATTCTCAGTCCTCCTAGAGGACTTCTTTTATTGATCTTTTAAAGGAACTAGTTTTTGCTTGTTTTTCCATTTTTTTGTGTGTGCTCAGTTCCATTTATTTCTGCTCATTTGCTTTCTCCTATTTGCTTTGGGTTATTTTGCCCTTTTCCCCACCTGAGTTCTTCACGTAAGAGCTTAGAGGACTGATTTGATACTTTTTTCTTTTTTCTTTTGTTTTTGGCCAGGTTAGTCTCCAACTCCTGACCTCCTAATCCACATGTCACGGCCTCCCAAAGAGCTGGGATTACAGGTGTGAGCCACCGTGCTGACTTTTTTCTTTTCTAATGTATGCAATTAGTGCTGTAAATTTCTCTCTCAGAGCTCCTTTAAGTTGTCTTGGAAATTTTGATACACTGTGTTTTAATTTTTATTCAGGTTAATTTAGTTTTTGATCTCTACTAAGGCTTTCTCTTTGTCCTATGGACTGTTTAGTAGTGTGTTTTTCATTTTCCAAGTGTTTGGATATTTTTGTTGTCTTTCTGTGACTGATTTTTAGTTTGATTTCATTGTGGTTAGGGATCATACCGTATCAGTCACTTCTTTTAAATTTGTTGAGGCCCAGGATATGTTCTATCTTGATCTATGTTCTGTATGAATTTGAAATGAATGTGTGTTCTGCTTTTCTTGTGTGGACTGTACTACACATGGTGCCTGAATTCTGCTGGCTGAAAGTGATTTGGGGTTCTTCAATATCCTTGTAGATTTTCAGTTTATTTGTTCTTTTATTATGAAGGAAGTGAAGTCTCCAATGTAACTGAATTTGTCAATTTTTTTAGTTCTATCATTTTTTTCTTTTTTAAAAAATATTTATTTATGTATTACATTTATTTATTTATTTATGAGTCAGGGTCTCACTCTGTCACCCAGGCTGGAGTGTAGTGGCACCACCTCAGCTCACTGCAACCTCCACCTCCCAGGTTCAAGCAGTTCTCGAGTCTCAGCCTCCCTAGTAGCTGGGACTACAGGCGCACATCACCGGACCACTATGCCCGGCTAATGTTTGTATTTTTGGTAGAGACGGTGTCACCATGTTGGCTAGGCTGGTTTCCAACTCCTGGCCTTAAGTGATCCCCCCACCTCGGCCTCCCAAAGTGCTGAGAATTACAGGTCTGCGCCCTGCCTTTTTTTTTTTTTTTTTTTTTTTTTTTTTTTTTTTTTTGAGACGGAGTCTCACTTTTGTTGCCCAGGCTGGAGTGCGTGGCACGATCTCGGCTCACTGCACCTCTGCCTCCAGGTTCAAGCGATTCTCCTGCCTCAGACTACCGAGTAGTGGACTTACAGTGAACTACCACGCCCAGCTTATTTTATTTTATTTATTTTATTTTATTTTATTTTATTTATTTTATTTTACTTTATTTTATTTTATTTTTGCATTTTTTATAGAAATGGGTTTCACATATTGGTCAGGATTGTCTCGATATCCAGACCTTGTGATCCGCCCGCTCGGCCTCCCAAAGTGCTGGATTACAGGCGTGAGCCACCGCATCCGGTTCCTTTTTTTTTTTTTTCGTTACATATGTTGCAGCTCTGCTGTTTGGTGTATACATATACACCAAAGGATTGTTATGCCTTCTTGGTGGATTTTCTTTGTTCTGAAGTTTATATTAATATAGGCACTTTTGCTTTCTTTTGATTAACGTTTGCATGTAATATATTTTTATCCCCTTAATTTCAGACTGCTTGTATAATTATATTTGAAATGAGTTTCTTTTAGACGGTGTATAGTTGGATTACGTTTTCTAATCTATTCTGTCAATCTCTCCCTCCCTCCATTCCATTTTTCCTTTTGCCCTCTCTCTCTCTGTCCTTCCTTTCTTTCTCTCTCGCTCCTTCCTTCTTTCCTCCTTCCTTTCTTTTCTTTCTTCCTTTATTTTCTTTCTTTCTTTCTTCCTTTATTTTCTTTTCTTTCTTTCTCTCTTTCCTTTCTTTCTCTCTCTCTCTCTCTCTCTCTCTTTCTCTCTTTCTCTCTTTCTCTCTTTCTTTCTTTCTTTCTTTCTTCCTGACGTACTCTCGCTCTCTCGCCCAAGCTGGAGTGCAGTGGTGCGATCTCGGCTCACTGTAAGCTCCGCCTTCCGTGTTCACGCGATTCTCCTACCTCAGCCTCCCGAGTGGCTGTGACTACAGATGCCCGCCACCAAACCCGGCTAATTTTTTTGTATTTTTAGTAGAGACAGGGTTTCACCGTGTTAGCCAGGATGGTCTCGATATTCTGACCTTGCGATCTGCCCCCCTTGGCCTCCCAAAGTGCTGGGATTACAGGCGTGAGACACCATGCCCGGCCGAATTCATCCTTCCTTTAAAGTAGCTAAATAAAAATCATGCCTGGATGTCTGGAAATGTCAGTAAACATCAA